AACCATTCTTATTATAACTCAATGGGCCACGAATTCTCGAGTGTTTATAATGCCCTTTAGGCAATACCTTGGCCATAGTTCCTTAACTAGGCTACTATACCCGAAATTTGTACTCATGTTTGGCACTTTTATCAATCAAAATCATTCACATTACCAAGCAAAAACAGACAAGGTATAATAGCAATGAAATGAACTCAAAACAATTCTATTATTATAAGAAATTTTGTGAATGACAAGAAGATCAAAGCAAAGCATAAAAACTTAACACAAAATCAGAATGTCGAAATCTTATTTTTTTAGTCAATGGACATGCCGGCCACACCATCCGCTATCTTGGAAATGGCTACATTGGAGTCAATTGACAAGCCGGTCACACCATCCATTACTTTGGACACGACTACATTGTATTCCTCTTTATCTACTTCGGCCATGTTGGCTTCAGGAGGTCTCATCTCACTGCTTTGCTTTAGCATGTAATTATGCTTCTCAAATATTAATAGGCATGAAAGCAGGTCATTATAGGTGGTAAAATCTCTTTCTATATGGGAATTCGGCCAAAAAAAGCACGTACTTTGCACGAATTGCCAAAAAAGACATGAACTTTTGGGCAGGCCAAAAAAACACAAACTTTTCATTGACTTTAGAATTAATGAACAATGTTTTCGGTTACTTGCCAATTTAGCACGCGGTCACCAAATTTAACAGAAAAATTTGACGTCGTTTATTGTTGGCGTTAGGTAAAACGACGTCGTTTTCAAATAAAAACAAGTAGACCCTTCAATTCGAACTCGGATTGATTGGATTAAATGACAAGGTACTTTACCACTAGGCCAATGGAACTTTCAATGTATTTTCTAACACAATTAATTTTATTTGGTACTGATTGAATATAAAAAAAAATTCTCTAAAAACATAAAAATCTTTAAATTTTTTTAAAAAAACTGAAAATAAAGAAATTTTCTATAGTCAAAAATCTTCCACAATTTCAATTTTTTTTTTAAAAAAAATTGAAATTAATTATACACACATAAAAAGATACCCACAAATTAAAATAAATTAAAATGCTTAAAATAAATATTGTACCCATTATGAGTGCAATTCTAATTTTTAGCTGATACATGTAACTTTAATTATTTGCTTTTTATTTGAATTTTCAGTTTTTTGGAAATTAAAAAAAAAAACTGAAAATTTTGGAAGATTGTTGATTTTTTTAAAGAAAAATAATTTTAATTTTAATATCCAAATTAATTTTATAAAAAAAATCTTTTTTTCAATTTTTTGAAATTTTAAAGATTTTTAAGCTTTTAGAGATTTTTTTTTATATTCATTCAGTACCAATAAAAGTAAATGTGTTAGTAAATATATTGAAAGTCACTAGCCTAGTGGTAAAATACCTGCCATTTGATCCAATCAAAATAAATAAAATAAAATTTTAATTGTTTTCAAAAAAGTTTGTAAAAATTTTAATTAATTATACACTCATAAAAAGATACCCACATATTTAAATTAAATTAAAATGCTTAAAATAAATTTTGTACCCATTATGAGTGCAATTTTAATATTTAGCTGATACATGTAACTTTAATTTTTTTGCTTTTTTTGAATTTTTATTTTTTGGAATTTAAAAAAATGAAAATTTTGGAAGATTTTTGATTTTTTTAGTGAAGAAATAAAATTTTATTTTTAATTTTCATTTCAAAATTAATTTTATAAAAAAATCTTTATTTTTTTCTAATTTTTGAAATTTTAAAGATTTTTTTTTTAAATTTTTAGAGAATTTTATTATATTCAATTAGTACCAATAAAAGTAAATGTGTTAGCAAATATATTGAAAGTGTCACTAGCCTAGTGGTAAAATACCTTGCCATTTGATCAAATCAACCTGAGTTTGAATCCAAGGGTCTACTTGTTTTTATTTTCAAATCACGTAAAACGAGATCGTTTCATCTCACTTGAAAAAGACGTCGTTTCACTTAACGCCTATATTTAACGTCGAGTTAACACAGTCTTAACTGCTCGTTAACGGTGTGTCAAAATGGTGATTCAATCGTAAGTTTCTTAATAAACTAACAAAGTCTACAAAAGTACATATTTTTTTTGTTGAGCTAGAGTACAGGTTTCTTTTGGCAATTCATGCAAAGTTCGTGTTTTTTTGGCCGAATTATCCTTTCTATATAGATATGTCGTGACAATTTATCTCCTGGATGGAATGTGGAGTATGTCTTGAACAGTAAATCCTCGTCTGTTACCATTTCACCACATAGTCTCAGTTTTTAAGTGATTTGGGTCAAAGCCAAATGATATTCATCCACAGACTCAAAGTCTTGAAATCCGAGACTCATCCATTCATGCCTAACCTTTGGTAATAACATCATACTGTATCTGGATTTTAATTATGTCCAAAGGTCACGAGGATTCTCTATATGTAGGTACTGATTTCTCAGATCCTCAGTGAGATGATAGCGCATAATTGTTATGGCCCTATAATTTTCACTTTCAATTGCATAATCATTCTGAATGTTACTTCTTCCGAGTCCTCTTGACTTTAGGACAACTGAAGTGTGCATTGCCTATTACATATAATTAGCTCCAGAGAGATTTAGGGCAGCAAAATTCTCATATTTCGACATCTGAAATCATATTATCAATCAATTCAAAATTTAGAATTTATGCAATCAAATCAGATAATCAATGCATATGGTTTCACAAGTCTCTTGACCAAAATAATTTACTACTCGGCCAGGTTTCTAATAAGGCCACACGGCCAAGGTTATAAATCATGCAATTAAGGTTTATCAAACAAGACTAGCAACTTAACTCTCATTCAAAGATAATGAATCGGATTTTATATGTGAATGCGACCAATGCATCATTCAAACAAGTAATCTCAAAGATAATAAGGCCACACGGCCACGAGTATGCAAGCAAGGTCACACGACCATTTGGGTATGATGCATTGCTAGACCACACGGGCCACATAAATATGTACTAAGCAACACGACTTTCTATCACATGATGCAAACAAGCTTAGGATTTAGATGACCTATATGCGGCCAGATTATATGCACAAAAGACACACAACCATACTATCAAAATATAAACAAGGCCACACGGACATTCTCTTAATAAGCAAACAAGTCTTGATGATCAGTATAAATATGCATCTAGGATTTCAAGGTCATTTAGATTTATAGAATGCATCGAGTAATCTATCATCTTAGCTCTCATCAAGTTAGATCGATCAATCATTCGATTTTAACAAATTAGGGTTTCAAGGCCTTTTTAGATATTCAAATTCGAAAATAGGGTTTCAAGGCCCTTAATGCTTCCAGTTCGAATTTTAGGGATTTAGGTCATGTAGCAAGCAATCTCTCAATCTTAAATTATAATCAAAAACAATGATTCAAAATTAGAGTTTATGCGGATCTAGGGTTTCAAGGCCCAGACTTGTAGGGTTTCGATTTCAGAAAATAAAATAGCATTCTTGGCTTTCAATACTCCAAAATAGACCAATCAACTCAATAAGCAACTACCAAGAACCTCAAATCTGATCAATCAACTATAATTTAGGGTTTAGGTCAAAAATCAGATTTTAGGGTTTCTATCCAGAAAATTAGGGTTTCAAAATCATAGACAATCAGACTAGCAATCCTAGCTCTCAATGCTTTAATTGGATCAATCCAGAAACCATAACCAATTTTAAATTCAATTCGGATCAAACTAGTTCAATTTAGGGTTTGGGGAAACAAATCTATTTAGTGTTTCAGATTCTCAGAAAGAGATCAGGGAATTAATATATTAGCATTCTAAACCTCAGAACTTTAATATAAATCAAGCAATCAATCAAAGATTAAAAATCAGATCCAAATTTAGGGTTAGGGTTTTGATCTTATAAATTAGGGTTTATGAGGCAAAAAAATTCTGGTCGACTTTTAATCAATGCAAGAACACAATCAAATAATCACATAGTGTCTCAAGTTATTAACATGATCAATCAAACAATCAAACAAGAAAAACAATTGATTTTAATTTTAGGGTTTTGATTCAATTCATGCATGGAAAGCGGTTTTAGGGTTTGATGATTTATGAGAGAAGGATTCATGCTTCTAGCAACGTAGCAACCATTGATCTATCAACCTAACATGCAATCAATCTAACCAAAACCTAGTTCCTTAAGAGTTTTATTATCCTCGATTAGGTTTTTATCAATTTTGTGGTTTTTATGGTTCAGATCTTTATCATACAACCAATTCGATGTAGGTTCTCTTTTAGGGTTTCGATATTACCTTGATTCAAGTAGGGTTGAAAACCGGTCCACCAAGGAGAAGAACCAAGATCTGGATTAGAACTGAGACGAGTTGGATGATCGTCGGATTTAGTTGGTACACAGGTCGTGGTCGAGCTTCTTTGCGCGGGTACGAGCTTGCTTGGTTCGCAAACTGATTTGTTGATCTTGCTGAGTTTCTGGTCGATGGTTATGATCAGATTGTGTCTCAGGTTTGCAGCTTCAATAATCTTGACTTAATTATCACGCCAAAGTAGAAGAGAAAAACGTGGCCAGGGTTTGTGATATGGGAGTCTGATTTTTCTAACTTAGGGTATGGACGATCGTGCTGATAACGTGTTGTGAATAAAAGTTGTAACTTGTGTGTTATTATTATTCATATCGAGGTATGTATATATAAAAGTATGTAAAACGTCATAACAAAGATACAATCCTGATCCTAGTAGGATAAGGATAACTACAACAACAAAGATAAGGACCAAGAGGAGGATAAGGATAAGATGTGCTCCTGTTGTAGGATAAGGATAAGGTGTGCTATAAACCGCCAAAGACATAATTTGGATAAACCTGATCTGATCCAGTAGAACCCGGATGGGCTTCTGGTCCTGCGGACGAGCCCGGCCCGGTTTAGTCCAGTCCGGATATAGCCCAACCACCAAATGGTTCTTAACATGATTCTTTAACTTAAAAAACTTTGACTGCTTTCATCTTTCAGTTACCAACTGTGAATCAAGAAACCGGAGTTCCCGATGCAACTGAACCAATTGAAACTCTGATGAAATTTATATCAGACAAAGACTTGATGCCACACAAGAAACCGCATGGAAAGGTTATATATATTGATATACCATGGTTTTGACCCACTTTTGACCATGGTATTTATATGATTTTATAATATATATATGTTTTGGAGTCTATTAGGTATGCTTTCAGGTTCAGGAGCATTTTGGAGTAAAGTGATGATTTAGGTGCCCTTATGGAGCTTAAAGGAGAGTTTTCTCGAGATGACTATAAAGATCAGACATTAAGGTCGATATCCTGAGATACCTATCGATCGATACACATCTTGTGTAATTGATCGACAACGCTTCCGTAGAAGATGACTTTGGATACTCCATCGATCGATGTACACCATGTACCATCGATCGATATGAAGCGTGAAGAACATGTTTGACTTGCCGACTTGAAGCCCAAGTTCTCTCAATATTACAAGATTGCCCCTGACGAGTTTTTAACCTAATGGAACTCATATTTATAGTTTTGCCTATGTGTTTTGGCTAGACATGCTTTTTATGCTTTTACATGCTTTTGTGCTTTTCAGACTTTTTATGTTCTTTAATTTCTAAAAGTATTCTCTTCATCTCATTCTCATTTTCATAAAGGTTATAAAATTCTAGATTTAGAAGAAACACACAAAGAGATTTGTTGTTCCAAGAACCAAGACTTCAATGTTCTAATCTAATGAATTTCTATTATTACCTTGTTGCTATGAATCACTTAGCCATGTCTGAGTAGATTCACTTGTTAGATTTAAGGTTCAAATAGTTATGAGGGATTAGCCCCAACTATGGATTGTTGAGTTGTGATATTCATTATCCTGATGAACCCTAATGCTTATTCTAGAATAGCTAACTAGAGTATGATCATGGAATGATTTAACTTGTTAATCATCATCCTGAAATCATCTGGTATAAGCTGAGATTCTAGGCACGATGCGAGAGCTGGTCTATGATCTTGGTGAACACTTTCGATTCGATCTGAAGCTATATCGATCGATACTCTTATAGATTAATCGATCGACGGCTACAAATATCGGCCGATGTTGCGATAGCAATATCGATCGATATTGTCGGCAGTCAGATCAATGGACGAGTCTAATAGCGATAGTTATAGATTTATCTAAGAATTGAAGTTCTTTAATATCTTACAAGCAACTTATAAAGACATCTATAGCATAATAATCCTGATTATCTGAATAGTAACCTTGAATCTAACTATATTCTTTTATTGTAAACCAAACTCTCTTGAGCAACTCACCATTGCTCACAACTGCAATTTACTTTTAACCTTGATCAACCTAGCATATTCACTTTGGATTTTATCTTTTGTGTTCCTTAGTTCCTCGTGGATTTGATCCCTAAGTACTACAATTGAACCTCTTATTTGAGAGAGTAATTCACTCCTTACGGAAATTTGAGTGATATCATATATTTAAAACATATAAAAGATTTCGATTATGTACCTAGTGTGGATGCTAAACCAGTTTGTTACAGGTTTTCTTTGGTAAGGATATGCATAACCAACAACCAAGGCAAAGGCAACAAGACAATCGAAGTTGGTGATTCCATCTCGGTCCTAAGGATGACCTCTTCCGTATCTGAAGGAACTGTTTATAGTCGACTCGAATATATATAAACATTTTGCTTCATCTGTTGTGTTGTTATCTTTAAATAATTTAGAGAAAGATGATTTCTTGCTTATGTAACTTACAAACACCACTTATTCTGAGTTTCATCTTGTTGAAAGTGTATTCATTGGCTTGAGTAGTCTCGGTGGATCTTAACATTTTTAAACCTGAGTACTTGGAATAAATCTTGAAAACTAATAAAAGGATCCATCTCATTTATCATATATATAACTCTCCGTCAGGTTCTTGAAATTATGGATAGGTTTTATGGATCTTGTAGATTTATAAGAAGACATCTTTAAGCATGAAACATTTTAGCTTAAAAAAAAACAAGGAAAGGTAAAAATGTTCAAACGATTACATGTAACACTTAAATTTACTAGTTTTTAATATATAAAAACTAGATAATTATATTGTTACAAACTATAAGAAACAACCGAGAGTTTTTTCTGTCGTATGAGGATTCTCGTTTGACTGTACGATGCTGAGTCTTCCTATGAGATCTACGCTTGATAGTACTCCATACAACATACTGAAGATTTCTTCTTAATTTTTATCCATTATAATCTGCATAATTCAACCTTTTTCTAGGACCCCAAAACCAAAACACCGAACGTCGCCTAAACTATACGATTTATCCGAGATTCTTCGTTAAGATTATAAAAAATGCGTTTTTAATAAAAAAACGTCGAGAGAATCGTAAAAAAACGGCATCGGATCAGGAAACGGTCTCGTTAAAGTCGTAAAACGGTTTTTATCATAAAACGGTCCGAAAGGTCCTAAAACACGATAAAACCCATCTCGCGATGTTAACAAAATCAAACCCGAAGATAAGATAACGCTTTGACGGTCTACTCGCAGACGGAAGATAAAAGGCAAGTTTGAAGATAAATAGAAGATTTCTGCAGAAGGAAGGATCGACAGATATGGAAAGTTCCCGAAATATTCGGTTTCGAGCAAAATGGAAAGACTAAAACCGCCTAAGGAGGAGTATATAAGGAGGAGGCATAGGGAAGAAGCTGAAGGATACGATTTTCAGAGCTCTCACCACCAAAATTAGCATTTAGGAAATTTTCCGTTTTCGTTATCGAGCTGCGTCTCAACTAGGGTTTTAGTCTTAGATTGTTAGAACTAGGAATTTCGCCGACGGCTCACGCAGCTAAGGCAGCTCTCGTTGTAACCGTTCTTACACGAATTCAGAATAAGAATCCTTCTTGCTCTCAATCTCGTTTTTCTTTTTATATCTTTCAATTTATTCATATTAATCGCGTTCTTGGTTACTTGTCGTTGGCTTTCGCAGAGATCCGGTTCCTCTGGAAACTTAGGGTTTTCCCGAAATTTCCTTTTTTAAGATTTATTGACAGTAGGTGGATTTCGGTTCCCACAATTAACATGGTTAAATCATTCCATGATCATACTCTAGTTAGCTATTCTAGAGTAAGCATTAGGGTTCACTAGGATAATGAATATCACAACTCAACAATCCATAGTTGGGGCTAATCCCTCATAACTATTTGAACCCCAAATCTAACATGTGAATCTACTCAGACATGGCTAAGTGATTCATAGCATCAAGGTAATAATAGAAATTCATAAGATTAGAAGATTGAACACTTGGTTCTTTTAAACAACAAATTTCTTTGTGTGTTCTTCTAAATCTGAATTCTATAACCTTTTATGAAAATGAGAATAAGATGAAAAGAATACTTTTATAAATCAAAGAACTAAGAACATAAAAAGCATTCAAAAGCAGAACATGTAGAAAGCATGCAAAGCTCAAGAAGTACAAAAGCATTAAAGGTATAAAAAGCATGCCTAGCCAAAACACATAGGCATAACTATAAATATGAATTCCATTAGGTTAAAAACTCGTCAGGGGCAATCTTGTAATATTGAGAAAACTTGGGCTTCAAGTCGGACGAGTCAAACTTGTTCTTCACGCTTCATATCGATCGATGGTACAAGGTGTACATCGATCGATGGAGTATCTCAATTCATCATCTTCTATGGAAGCGTCGTCGATCGATTACACATGATGTGTATCGATCGATATCTATCTATGGATATCGACCTTATTTTCTGATCTTTATAGTCATCTCGGGAAAACTCTCCTTCAAGCTCCATAAGGGCACCTAAATCATCACTTTTCTCCAAAATGCTCCAGAACCTGAAAACATACCTAATAGACTCCAAAACATATATATGTTGTAAAATCATCTAAATACCATGGTTAAAAGTGGGTCAAAACCATGGTAGATCAATTCCCCCAGACTTAACCTTTTGCTTGTCCTCAAGCAAACACAATAGTTAGTCTTTTGGAAGAAGTTTAAAAAGAAAACAGCAGGGACTCAATCAATTCTTAACTTAAGGTCATCACCTCTACTTTGTTGCAAGCCACATCTCATATTACTAACTACAGAAGTACATTATACCGTATCCTAGTTTAGCAACCAAATTCATCTAGCCAATCAACTTAGCAATCTTGTCTGTCTATCCCCTCTACTGATTTCATTTATGGATAAAATAAAAGTGTAGGCTTTACCTTGAGAGTATCTATCAAGGAACACTTGGATTCAACTCAAGCAAGTTTCAGGCATTCTCATTCTGTTTTTTTTTTCCCTATATCTCCCTTCTCTGAATCCCAAATTTTTCTTTTTCTTTTATATAAATTCCAATGAACAAAAAATGTTCATCTTATTGATCTATCTACTTTTTGTAGTCTTTTCTGACAAAGTGTAGGCGAATAGTGGGGTCATGGGTAATTATCTCTCCCTCGCTTCCACAATGTGTGATCATTCCTTTGAATTAGAATAGTGGGTAATGTACCTCTCCCTCTGCCTCTCAGAAAATCATCTCAATCTTTTATTTTTTTTCTTTTAGGGATGCCAAAGGAAGGAGAGAAAGAAACCAAAACTATCAAGACTTTTAGCTTCCAGACTTGCAGGATGATTCCGATCCCTTGTATACCAAGCCCCAAGACAAGCAGTAGATGTCTGGTTAGGTTGGAAATCAGCTTTGGTTCTTCCAAACAATCATGAAAAGTGTTCTCATAGGTGACCGGTGATCCACTTCAGCATCTATAGTACTTTCTGCAATCAATAATTCTAAGAATGGTGCTAAAGAATGGTTAGATAAAAAGTAAAAATTTTGAAATCTTTTTGTCCCCTTCTTGACTCAATAAAACCAATTTTGAAAACATTTAATGAGATCAAAAGGTAAAGTAGCATCGGTAATCTCCACTCCCCCAGACTTAAATCATACACTGTGCTCAGTGTATAACCAGTCGGAGTTAGGGCATAAATAAATAATGTATAACTGATATCGAAAATTTTGAATGATATACTTGACCGAAATTCGTATCGATCGATGGTGAGTCGCCTCGTCAATTGTCATGGATAGGTCTATGTTGATCGATGTCGACAGGATCTTATTGGTCGATAGAGGTAGTGATCGTGTAGCATCTCTTCTGAAATAAATAAAACGAAAGTAATAAGTAAAAATAAAATAAAACTAAGGAAGAAAATACCTAATAGTGGGTTGCCTCCCACTCAGCGCTTAGTTAAAGTCATATAGCTTGACAATGGAGGTATGGTGGCTAGTGAGGTGAATTGCAGGTACTTGTTGGGAAACAAGTATCCTCCTTGTCTTGGAATTCTTCAAACCATGAAGTTAAGAAGCTTCTTGTGGCTTTCTCGCTTCTGGTCATACTAGCTTTCAACCCTTGGACCTCATCTTGGACTCTTTGTAGCCACTCCTCAATACTCGCAATGCTGAACTCATGTTTTCCAATCTTGCTGTAGGTTTTTTCTAGATCAATACTCAGCTGCATTGTGTCGAGGTGTTGGATGTCTTGCACACGAGTAGTAGTATTATCGACCAGTCCTTGGGGGGGCTGTATCGGTCGATTTGGAAGGGGGCCTATCGGTCGATGGGCTGAAAGGCACGTCGATCGATGCGGATGGTGCATGTCGGTTTGCGAGCTGTTTCTGAATGTTTTTGATCTCATTCTGAATTGCTTTTGTTGTGAATTCCAATCCTTGAACGTCACTCTGTACTGGGAACCACATCTTCTCGAGTAATCTGTATGCTTCGTCTCTATAGGTTTCAATAGCTTTGTAGATATCTCTTGTGATGTCCTCAATTTCTTCTCTGGTACAGAAGTCTGGTGCTTGAATATCGGTCGATGTACAGGGAGGGTCATCGATCGATAGCTTCTGTAGGTGACTCTCGATAGGCTTGTCTATGGTGGTATCGATCGATGCTTCCGTTTCTGAGATTCCAGTTCTTCGCGAAGAAGAGTCACTTCTTCTTGCAGGGCATCTCTCTCTGTGCGAACTAATTCATTGCCAGTCTGAATCCAATGTAATTCCCCTCGAAGTGATGCTGTGGCTTTCATGTTCAGACTTCAGTGATGCCATCTCCCAGTTATATTCTCCAACTCTTCCATTGATCATGTATGTGACCTCTGCTTGTGTGTAGAGCTTACAAACTAGAACTCCTTTAGAAAACTATTCAGCGTGCTCTGGTAAACAGAAACAAGAGCGCTCCATCAGTGAGGCTCTATTCAGCAATTTCCCATATCTTCTTTGGAAACATGTATGATATCTCCATCTACTCCTCTTGCGAAACCATTCTCATCTCTGTAGATACCATATTCATCTTTCTTTTCCCATAAGAACTAACGAATCCCGGATTTGAAAGCTTGTTTCCCAAATTCCCGACGTATATCCGTCGACGTGAGGCTCCACGTATCGATCGATGCTGGTTGAGATTCTGGATATGCTGAGTTGGTCATCTGAAGAATGTTTGCAACGTCTTCTTTGGAGATTAGAATGATTCTTCCATCCATTGCTCGTGCATGGCCATCTGGATCCCTGAAAATACCAAATTCATCTGGAATTAGTAATGTAAAATCGAAGTTATGTGTTTGTACCT